AAGGTAAGTTCATTCATTATGTCACGGAGGTTATTTTTTAAATGCTATGTTAGAAACAGAGCAATGTAATCCAGGAACTAGCTTCAATGCAGCAGTTATCAGCAACTATTTGGAGGCACCAGAACAGCATTTTCTTTTTTCTGTAATTTATTTAGTGCACCACTAGATGGTGGTAAATCTTACACCGATTTAAATACTAAAACCAAATCACCAATAATAGTGCTGTAAAGCTTTCAAATGTAAACAATAAAACCCATTAACTTTTAATAAAGCACCGCTTTTAGTGTCTGTTGTTGTTTTGAAGGAAAATAAATTCTCTCCAAAGCCATTTCAGGGATTTTAACTATTGATTATAAAATATATTTAAGTATTTATTTTCTAAAAATATGAATTTAAAGCAGCTCAATCCTTAAAGATTCTCTCTTATATCATGCAGTGTCTGTTAAATGCATGAAGCTTGTTCAATCAATAGACACCTTGTAGGCTCTCTTTATTACAATTGATTTATATTCTGGTAAAGCAGTTTAAAAACCACAGACAGGTGCTGCTAAATTTTAAGACAGTCAAGAAGCCTAAGGAATCACAGAGTTTATAATCAGAGTCAAAGAAAAGATGCCAGGATATTCGGACAGAAAAACCATCTTAGTTGCATAATCCAAATGCATCCTTAGATCCACAATGTAAAACTACTCGTTCCAAATGGTTCACACTCACCCCATGCCAGGCTCCATGTATGATGGCGGGTACATGGGTGTAGGCCTGGAAATTGAAAAAAAAAAAAAAAAAAACTTCTTTCTTACAAGTCACAAAACCACAAGAGCCTTTAAATCATTTACCTACTAGTATATAATATTCTTTAGATCCTTCCATTTAATTTTCAGAAAACATAAAAGACTAAATATGTCATAAAACGATCTGTTTATTATTAACAAATCACAATTTTAAATAACATATGAAATGTGGGGTGTATGCCCAAGTTTAGACATCTCTCTTCTCTTTCAACACTGGAACGGAGACCTACCCCACATCTCTATCCAGCATAGCGCCTGGGTGGAAGGGGGGAAAGCTGCCACCGTTCGGGGGTTCCTTAGGAGAGTACAGTTTGAATGATTTTGACGAACAGCCTGCCCATAAGAGAGAGAAAAAAAGAGGGGGTAGGGAATTAAAAGGGAGATTTAGATTACTTTGGATTTACTGCATTCAAATCACAGCATCAACTAAGTAATCTAATGTTGGATGATTTGGTTGTGATTCCCTCAAATGAAAGCGCGCTGCAAAAACAATTTCCTGCCGCATTCATTATCTAATGCATCTTCAATCTACTAAATGGACAAGAAACCAAATCATCATGAGGACATTTATTAGCTTTCACAAATGTGAGGAAAATAATCAGTCAAGTAAGCAGATGCAGATGGTCGGTTGATTTGTTGTCATTTTATCACCTCTTGTATCACTACTTGCAGCTCTCTGCAGTGAATGTGCAACCCCCCCCCCAACACACACACAAAACAAAAACAATCCTTTACTCTTTATGCATGTACTTCTGCATGACTCCCCCCTCAAGTTACTTCCTTTACCCATCCCCCTACATCATACACTGGCCATTTTTAGCTCATTTTCTTTTCCCCCCTAAGCCACGTTCAAACAATGTTAAAGAATTCAATTCTGCAGATCTGCTTTAGATATATCTACACCAAAAGCACAGTGATCCAAAACTTCATGTAATCATGCACAAACAAGAACAATTTAAACATAATCAGACAGTGCTAAATTGAAATAACAAGACAACATAAGCCTTTGAAATTTGACCCAGATAGGGTGAGCATATATGTAGCATTTTTTTTTCTGGTGTTTTTCCACAGGTGCAACAAATATGCCTCATGCATGTCGAACATAGTGTATGTGATGTTGATTCTTTGCAGCAGTGAATTAAACACCCCGAAAAACCTAATTACGTGGTTTTTCTAATAAAATACTAAAAGGTGCTCCATTTTTCCTGATCCGATATTCTCAGACATGACACCTGAGGCCCCTTGCAATGTGCTTGTAATTCATTATCTGTACGCAACAGTCTGACACTATCAGTTTGGCAAAAGAAAACACAATCATACCTAATTAAAACCAGCAGCTGGAGAAACACAAACCATCAACTACAAAGAAGGGATCCATCTTACAGGGATTTTATTATTTTAGCTAATCGGTTTAGGAGAACTGATAAAGGGAACTGTAGGAAGATGACCCTGCTCAAATAGGAGCATTAACACGGGTAAAGAAGAGAGAGCCGGTCCCTTAAACAAATAGCAGCTCTCATTCATTCACTTATAACCTTTTCTTCCTTTCTTTCACAGACCCAAGAGAGTAACGGCAGGTCATTTCCACCCCCTATTATTAAAAGAGCTGAACCTTCACTTGGAACTTTACAATGGCATTATTTGCTTTACATCTGACCTTTTCCACCCACCAGTCACTAGTATCAGACTGCAGCCAGTCCTATATTTAAAATGTATAATCAACTTAAAGCAATACACAATTATAAAGGTCTATAACTAACAGACGTATATTCTAAAATATCATTAAAATATTTAACTTTGTCAACACTAGTATAAAAAAAATAATAATTCAAATGTACATCAATTTTAAACATCACAAAAACATACATTCAAATGACAATGTTCCCTCATTTTCTCAATTACTCCCTTGGTCACATAAGCCGCAGCACATTTGTTTTAGTTTATGTTATAAGAAAAATCTTATTACTCAGAACGGGAACTAAAAAAAACAACATTTCTTTTTTGTTTACATTCGTGTACACAAAATGACCAAATAAATCTGTCTAAGTCTAAAAAAGCATCTTACTAAACTTCACAAACA